TAGAGTGCAAGTCACATAAGCATGAAACAATTCTTAACTATGTAGTGCTAAATAAGATTTAGTTATCAACTAACTAAGAATTGAGAACAATGCTACAAAGGAATTTAAATAATTGGCATTGTGTTTATGCTTTGTTGAATTCTTAGTTAGTTGATAACTAAATCTTATTTAGCAATACATATTAAGAATTATTTCATGCTTATGTGACGTGCACTCTATCTAATGTGTTAATAAAATGCTCAAAATACAGCTGACCATCTTGCAAAAGCAGCTCTTACAATCTCCGAGTTATGTTGCCATTGGCAGCTTGATTTTCTTTTGAATCTCAGACTGAACTGTGAATCTAAGGCTGAAGGCTTAAAATGTCTAAATTCTTGTTGAATTTGAATTTTGTCGTGAAAATTGCATTTATAGCGATCGTTAAAGGCGAGATCTAGACAATGGAAGGGTTTTGTTGATCATTTTCACGATATAATGGGATTTAAGCGATAATAAAAGAAAAGTGCTTGACCCCTCCGGAAACGAATCTCATTCCCACTGAGGCTATGTGAATCTGGCTGCGAATGTCATGCTAGCTTCACTTTAATGATGTAAGAATGCTCTTTGAAAGTATGCACAAAGTAACAATTTTTTTTCTATGTGCTATATAATATTTTCAAACAAAAAGCATATCAAAATACTTTAGAAATAGTGGACTTTTCGATTTAGTTGAGATTTGCTTGGGGAAATTATTTTGGGTGTAGATCCACGAACCGAAAGTAAGACGAAATCGGCATATTTTTATAAAGACGAGACGAATAAATTTGCATATTATGTACTTATTAGTCAAGGGAGTAATTTGTTTTCAGCTTTAAACAACGAAAAATGTTCTTAAATGTTCTTATAGTCAATAGCATCGTGAATATGCAAAAACTCACAAGCGTTTCAATGGTGTTTTCTGATAAAATGGAATTAAATTGTAGCATGTAATTTGAAGTACAAAGCGTGGAGATTGTTATGCTTACTTGAAGACAATAAGATTTCCGATTTATAGTTTTCCTTGTATGTAAACGTTTTAATGGTACAATTAACAATTTTACCATAACTTGTAGAATTCTCGCGCGCTGATTGGTCGAGCCAGCGCGCGCTAGAAACGGTTTTGTTTTTAAAGTTTTACTTTGTTTTCAGCTTTTTTATGGTAAAAAACAATTCGCAGGCGGTTTTCCATTGTCTGTACTCTTATTGACAATGAAATTGACGTCAAAATGCTCAAAACTCAAGTGGAACCATGAGCGTAAGCGAGATCTTTTCAACACTCGAAGATAAAATCCGTATCTCCGCGCGCCCATGTAATATCCTCTATATATAATCCATTGCGTAGCAATATCCCTCAGCTCAAAATGCGCGAACTTGTTACAAGATATGCAAATATTAGTGGCGTAAGCAGCGCTTTGACACAAAACAGGCATGAGTTAATTGTTGCGGGGTATTCGATAGTTCCCAAAAATGAAGCTCAAAATATAATTCAATATCTCAAACATACATTATATTTGAGTATATATTGCGTATATATTGCGTATTTATAAAATTTTTGATATATAACGCGCGCTCTGATTGGCTGACGACCGTGTTTATATCAGAGGACAGAGACACGCGCGCCGTTTTATATTTCTTAAATATTGCGTAAAATGGATCTAATAAACAACCATGGTGATATCCTCTTAGTCGTGCATCTCTTATCCATCCTATCTGTTTGCTGCAGCATCTGCATCTCCGCAAACTCAGCATATTTTTGTCTATGTCCAATATGGAGCTCAGAACAAACGGAGTTCAAGGAAATTGCGATACCAGCAGTATCTGCGAGAGATTATAATTATATTAACAGAAGCTAAAACCTCGAAGTTTCATTTATTAGGGGAATATATAATGACATTCATCACTTTTTGCGGTTATAGGTTGAAAGCATCCTTTGCAAGACCTCGGTGTTGTCAAGAATATCAAAAGGTCTCTCGAACTTGAAAAGATACTGGAACCTGGAATACAATAAATATAAAAAAAGTGTTTCTAAAATACAGGTTATTTCACTGTTTTAGAGGTTACTGATGATATTGATCTTGTCAGAAGCTGACTGACACTTAAAGTGAATCATTGTCCTCAAAATGCCAAATCAATTATTTGAAGTTCGAAAAAAATCCGATTCGTTTTAATTTGATAAATGTTTTAGAATTTTGTTATATGAACATAATAAGTGATATTTAAAAAACGAGTAGGAGTGTTTTATCGTGAGATATAACGAGGCCGAAGGCCGAGTGTTTATATCCACGATAAAACACGAACTACGAGTTTTTTAAATAACTTCTAAAAAAACCGCCAAACCTAAGAAACTACAATAAACATGAAATNTCAAAATATAATTCAATATCTCAAACATACATTATATTTGAGTATATATTGCGTATATATTGCGTATTTATAAAATTTTTGATATATAACGCGCGCTCTGATTGGCTGACGACCGTGTTTATATCAGAGGACAGAGACACGCGCGCCGTTTTATATTTCTTAAATATTGCGTAAAATGGATCTAATAAACAACCATGGTGATATCCTCTTAGTCGTGCATCTCTTATCCATCCTATCTGTTTGCTGCAGCATCTGCATCTCCGCAAACTCAGCATATTTTTGTCTATGTCCAATATGGAGCTCAGAACAAACGGAGTTCAAGGAAATTGCGATACCAGCAGTATCTGCGAGAGATTATAATTATATTAACAGAAGCTAAAACCTCGAAGTTTCATTTATTAGGGGAATATATAATGACATTCATCACTTTTTGCGGTTATAGGTTGAAAGCATCCTTTGCAAGACCTCGGTGTTGTCAAGAATATCAAAAGGTCTCTCGAACTTGAAAAGATACTGGAACCTGGAATACAATAAATATAAAAAAAGTGTTTCTAAAATACAGGTTATTTCACTGTTTTAGAGGTTACTGATGATATTGATCTTGTCAGAAGCTGACTGACACTTAAAGTGAATCATTGTCCTCAAAATGCCAAATCAATTATTTGAAGTTCGAAAAAAATCCGATTCGTTTTAATTTGATAAATGTTTTAGAATTTTGTTATATGAACATAATAAGTGATATTTAAAAAACGAGTAGGAGTGTTTTATCGTGAGATATAACGAGGCCGAAGGCCGAGTGTTTATATCCACGATAAAACACGAACTACGAGTTTTTTAAATAACTTCTAAAAAAACCGCCAAACCTAAGAAACTACAATAAACATGAAATAAATAAAAAATATCAAAAATGAATAATTGATGAAGATATCTCCATCTGAGCATCAACTTGGTTTCCCACATCCAAGCGCCACTATGTTTTAGTGTACTTGCATGTGACTCTGTAAGTAAGTAATTTTAACTCGAGACCTAGTAAAGTTCTATGATGAGAGTCTAAAACTGAGAACTTTTCTGGTGTTGGGCATACATCGAGTGTCTGCAAATCAGTTACAACACTGATGTTTTAGTATGCATGAGTTTTATAACTAACTGAACCGGTTAGTTATAAAACTCATGTTTAATTAATCAGTGTTTATAACTTGAGTAATAGATCCTGTCATGTGACCCATAGTTGAATGCTCATTGGAAGAATGTCTAATGAATAATTCATGAGTTTTAGAACATGATATACACAATCTTGCCAAGTTCTGGAAAAAATAGGATCGGAAGTCCTTTTTCCACTTTTATTGTAATGTTAATCAATAATGTTAATCAACTGTTCCGATATTTTGGCTCTAAGGAATTCTTTAAAACTTGGCAGGATTGTGCCTCATATTTATGTTAATGATCCTAAAATTTTCATGTAAATAGAACGGATTAATTTTCTGAAAACTCGAGTTTTTGTGAAAACAGTTGATATGTTAATTAGCATGCAAATCATAAATTGTAATCTGTGAATATACCATAGTATTGGTAATGATTGCTTTGTAATTGGTTGACTTCAAGTCAATTGCTTCAATAAAGCCAAAGGTATATTAGTCCAAAATAATAACCGATTTGGCATTTTTATCCACCTTAAGCATGAAAATGTTTTGTTTCCGATTTCAATACACCGTACCTAGTTAATACCTATAAAAACTTATTCAAAGGTACATTCCATTAAAAGTGTGATGTTGACTCTTGACACAAACTTACCCATCGCTCGATGTATAACATTGTATTTTGGTGTTCTTGCTTGTTCTGACTGCTATAAAAGGCAAGTTGATGACACCCTGTTGTTGGTCTTTCACGACGTTCTTCTTGGACAAAAGTAATGAMGTGTACGTTTCGGACTATGGTAGAAGATACAGCATTAATACACTGAAGATATTACTTCTTTAAAGAGCATATGACATGAAAACAGCTTTTTTTGTCCAGTGAAAGAACGGTATTTGATAACCCTAAATCTAAAATATTTTTCAATTCTGATAAAAACCTGCCAAGTTACAGCTATTTGAAATTAGCAATTTTCCCCTGATTTTTGTCCCATTTTGGGGGACTGGATCCTAGCGTTG